TGTCACTAATAAGAATGTGTCAGCCTATGCCAGACTGAACACCTGGAAAGCAAATATACAATATATTGTACATTCAGCGTCCTCAGTAGATTACTTGACATAACCAGAGTCTCCTATTGAAACGGCTTCCGATATATTCAGAAATTTATACATAAAGATCACTGCACGGAACATCCTTTGGACAACATCAATTGGTCAGAGAAACTCCCTACAGAGTTTCAGTAGAGAGGTTCACACCCTTCTTCATAAGAGGGAATAAATATAGGAGACATTTAGGTTACTGCGTACTGACGAGTCAAAATCTCAATATCGGGAAGCTCGCAACATTTGTACCTTGACTCTCCGCAAGCCTAGACGGCTTTACAAAATAGACCTTATTGAGGACTCCATAGAATGCCCTGAACGCTTATATTCGTACTTAAACCAAAAGACTATGAGAAGAGGCGGCGCCCCAGCATGATGAGCAGATAGTAGTACTGCATCATTAGTGGAGGACAATTATGATAAAGCTCAGGTATTCTCAAATTACTTTAGCAATCTATATACTGTAGATATACCCTCCCCTTTAGCTCACACAAACCCAGACACATACACTCTGAACACTAAGACCATTAAAAGACTCTATGTTTTTGGTCTGTTAAATTAGCTTGATATAGGCTAATCCATTGGACCCAATGAAATGCATCCTAGGTTACTAAAGGAATTACCAAATCTTATCGCAAATCCCTTAAGCATATGTTTTAATCTATCTATGACCCAGGTTCGATTATCAAAAGACTTTTAGAGCGCCATAGTAAGTTCTGTTGTGATAACAGGTATGAGGCACAAACTTGTGAAATATAGAACAGTAAGCTTAACCAGCGTGGTTGTTAAAATTTTAAAAAAGACTGTCCGTAAGTTTTTTTTAATATCTAGACAAAAACCGGGTTCTTCCTGAGAAGGAGCTTGGCTTTAGAACAAGTTAGTTATGTTTCACTAACTTATTAGTGGCCCGTGAAATTTATTGCACTCTTAAAGATCAAAATTTATCTATAGTTGTAACCTACAGTGACCTTAGTAAGGCTTCTGACAGCTATCTTCACATCTGGCTGTTACCTGAGTTAGATGATATCTTATTTAGGAGCGATTCATTTGTGTGGATAAAGAACTTCCTAGTTGGGCGTCAAAAAAGAGTACAGGTGAACTCAAAGTTATCTAGCTGGGAACTGTGCTTCGTAGAGTGCTCCAGGGTACAGTTTTGAGACCAGTGTTGTTTTTCCTGTATGTACATAACATTCGTAATCTTCTATAGTCATCGGTTTTGTTACACGCTGACGATGTCAAGATATGGAGGGCAATAAGGTGGTGATAGTTTAGGGCATCAAAATGACCCGGAGAAATCATCTGACTGGTCTGAAATTTGGCGGTTGCCGATAAATGCTTCAAATTGCATTGTGATGCATATTGCTCACCAAGGCACAGATACATTCACGGTGAATATAATTGAGTTACAAGTTGTTTGGGCACACAATGACTTAGGATTCATCGTTATCTAAGACATAAAAACTACTGCACACTGCTATATCATAGCCTCCAAAGGTTCTAGAACTCAATGGTCAATACGTAGGGCCTTTGATCATGTCGATGATTAAACTTTTTTGACTTTGTATGTAGTATTCGTGCGTCCAGAACTTGAGTACTGCATACAAGCTGCTAATCACTGCCTAAAGAGAAATAATGAGCTTTCGGAAAAGGTTCAGAGAACACCAACTAGGCTGATTTTCGTAATGGCAAAGCTCTCGTATGATGTTCGACTGACTGAACTGAACCTGTTTTCATTATCATATACAAGGAGCAAAGGCAACTTTATCACAATTTTTAAATTACTTAGTGATAAATTTGCATCTAATATGACCTAACTTTTCTTGTCTTACAAAACAAAGAATTTACGCGGACACTCTAAAATAGTTCACAAGCCAAGAACAAATTGCTTGTCAGCTGACTATAGACTTTCCCATCAGACCATCAACAAATGGAATCCATTACCACGAAATGTGATTAAGGTTCCATCTGCCAACGCTTTCAAAAGGAAGTTGGGTCAACTGATAGATCAACATTACCAAGACCACACAGGTCACCTAGCCTCATGTCCAGTCTAAATTAAAAGTGTAACTTAAGAAAAAATAATGCCATCTAAGCATATAATTCAAACAAGCATTACAAATGAGTTAAGCGTCATCAAGCTGGTGGCTATTTGAACTCAGCTGCTAAGTGGATAATGTTATGACATTTGAAGCGAATGACACGGCATTCAAGTCCCGGATTAAACCTCAATTCTGGGATTCAGCTACTTAAAGCTGATGAATCCCAAACAGAACAAAATGCACGTTCTTGATTCCACAACTAATCACCGCCTATCTCTACCTTTTATTGCTTATGAATTAATGGAGATATTGAGGCAATCCACAGAAGATGAATGCATGTCAAATAAGAGACTGATCATTTTCACTCCTAATCATCAACAGGAAGACTCAAATAATCAATACAACTGAAGTATTAAGTGTAATTCAGTAAATTACTGAGACGTCTTAAGTGATCACTAATTCACTTCATTATAAATACTTTACTATTCGTACTGAATAATTTCTCATTTCTATCAGTTTAGGGGATTCACAAATTTAAACGTTTTCCGGATGACAATTGTAAAACAAGTGATGTAGAAGTATGACGATTTTAGAAAATTTATTGAGAATCGATCATCGTTCGGACTAAGTTACTGATTTCTTTTATAACATAAAATGCTAGTTGTTTTTAGCTCTCTTTAATATCTGCTAGTTCAGAGATAACTGCATTATTACTGTGAGTGTAAAGAAACTTCATAACAATTTGATAATCATTCTATCATATTTCATAATCTTCACGTATAGTCAGGAATCCATATTAAATAGAATTTCAAATAACATGTGGAAAGAAAACTCTTGATAGTACAACATGAATTCATTTTCATCATCTGTATGAAACTTTGTTGGTTGATGAAAACCTTTCTGATTAAAACGATCCTGTTATTATTCACATCGTTAATGAATAGAGTTTACGGAATAACCTTAATTTCTACATATTCTTCAGTTGGATTCCATTATTTTACAGTGAACTTAAAAGTTTTCTTCATTACCGTTAACCTGATCCACCGATTTATTTTATTTATCTTGAAGTTTATCATAGTAAACCGAGTTGATGGAAATTTAGAATAAACTATATAACTAGAATAAATCTTACTATTACATCATTTGAAATCATTTACCAAGTATATATTTTTTCTACTCTACTCGAATGACACGTTTTTCATGTGACATCCATTGAATTTATCGAGTGGATTAGAATTCATTTACAAATTTAAGGAGTTAAATATCATGTTTATTAACCACCGACTTTAGTCTATGCAATAATCAATTAAGTCATGGATGGTATCTTAAACGTTTTGATGAGTATTTTTTTCATATTTTGATGATGACAATTTGATTACTTAGGTATTTGAAACAAAAAATATGCTTGAATTCATATGCCAATGAAAGCTAGATTACCATGGAAAACCTGGAACCACTGGACGCCTGTTTCTTCCTAGTATGAAGCTTTTCATCAGTGCTCATCCATGATCTCGTGAGCGGGATCCCACTCCACGTTTTCCATGGTAGTCTAGTATTAATTGGCTCATGAATTCAACTATTAAATTACTAAAATCTCCACAAACCCTCTCCTTCTGATAAAAAAATATGCCAAAACGTTCTGAATAATCATTAACGTCTCATATTAACTCGGCAACCAAATACTATGAAACTATTCGATCGAATTTAGACGGAAGTCCTTATTTATTGTTCTGAATAACCGTTCAATATAAATTTAAAGTGTTGAGTTATTTGTATTTAATTATAAATTATAAGTATGTTACTCTGCTTAGATGGTGGTTGGAGGTAGTCGACAGGAAACCCTGGACCCAGGTTTCGTGCTACTTGGCACTTGTCAGCAAGGTGTACCTGTAATCTTGAGGGAACTGATGCTCCCTGGCGGATTCGATCTCGTGTCAACTAGCTTCACATTCAGAGACTTTACCACTGAGCTATCCCAGCAGCGACCGACTTCCTGTGATCATAGTTGATTGATCACTGGGTGGCGATCAATGTCATGCGTGTCTAGTCCTTATTAGTGCAGATCTAATGCTACTGTGCTACTGTGTTACTGTGCTCCTTGATCAACCTACTCCATTAAAATTAACTGACTGTCACAATTTTCAACCTTAATTTTACCTGTTATTGGTAACAGAAATGAGGTATCTACTAAAAATGTTTTTAGGAAAATTCTGCTTTCCTCGATATGTTACTCAAATGTTAATAAAAATACTGGAAATAACTTAGTTTGTTCTAAGTTTCTAAAATTAAAATACAGTGATATGTATTGTGACCAACTGTAATATTAAATACAGCTTAGTTTATTTATTGTTCGTTTGGGGTGGAGATCAGACTGCGGGTCAATAAATTCAGGAACTAATACATGATGATGAACGGAATGTTAGTTTATATGGGGAAATAATATTGGAACCACATTTCAGTCAAAATATCTAAGTATCCCACAAAACCTTATAGTAATATAGAGAAAGCCTAATAATGATTATTAAATGATTAATGTATAAAGTGTCGCCTTGATTATACTAAAATAAGACAGATTTTTCAGTGAATTCAGTTTTAGTTACCTCTGTTATTTATTATATGATCAATTTTGAAACGTTAACTCAACAGATATTTGCCATCTAGTTTCAATGAATAATATAGTACCATTGATTTAAAACATTTACGTACTAGTCTTTGAACTCACGTGGCTAATCGCTAACACTGTTAACTTTCATCCACTGGTTGTATAACAAACCAAGTAATCTATTTATACATTAGCTTTTAGAATATAAACATTGATTATCGACTAAACAGATATCCTATATCATTCGATAAACTAATATATAACAACTTATGGAATAACAATACACATAAATATATTTTAATAAGGAAAGTAAAATTAACATTGAATAGCAAAAGAACAAACAAACGTAATGATTAATTTTCATTGTTGAACTGAAATATTATTTCCACTGTTTACTGATGTTTTCATATTAACACTTATAATTGTACAGCATACATATAAACTGGACCACGTTCATTTATTTGTGGTCCAAAGACTGGATGAACTTGTATATATGTTATGTTGTCATCACAAGTTTTATATGGAAATGTCATACTTTTGTCAATTTTTATTCTTGGTAATTTGTTAGGTTTTTGTAATTTAGTTCCATTATATATTTCTTTCATACTAGTTAAATTAATTGTAGATTCATCGTTAACTTCTTTAAATGGGGTTTGTGTTGAATTTACTTGCAATGGTATTGAAGTTACACGATGAACAGATGATTTTTCTATTTTTTTATTTTCATTTTCATTCAATTTTATATCTTTTAGAGAAGTAAGCTTAAATTCATTTGGTTTCGTTATTCTCCATGAACCAACTGCTTCATCACATGTTTTCTTTGAATATTCACTATAATCTCCTATCAGTGAATTAGGTTTTAACAGTGAATTACGAACTGATTCAACGGACATAGCTCGATTCTTGTTATTTATATAAAGGTTTTGCTTAATATTATCATTATAAACTATCGGTAGTTTTTGAGATAAACGAAATGAATCTGATTGTGTAGCTTTATCTATCAGATTACATATTCGATTAATATCATTTGGTGATTTACAACGAAAGAATTCATATGTACGTTTATCATCGAGATGATTTGAGACACATAATGCTAATGCTTGTGGTTTTGAACGAAATGTTGAACAACGCTTTATATCTTCATAACGTAACTCTGAATGAAATGAACGTCGACCCATAGATTTCAGTCGTTCAAATCTCATTGTATCATCAAACATATATAGCTTACAATGAGTATTTTTAGAACTATAATATTTGTCCAATAGCGTCTGTATTCTGTCTCTTGTAAACTCCTCATCTTTTTTTAACTCAATTTGTTTCAAAATGTAGATATCACATTCATGAAATACATGATTTCCAATATCTTTAATCGGTGGATGTCGATGTTCAAATGAAAGATCACGATCTAAACTGTCACCCCAGGAATCTGATACGCTTTTGTCAGATGTAATACGTGATTCAGATTGTGTTCGACGTCCTGACATTTGTAGAATTAAAACTTCTATACTATCTCTTCACAAAACAATGCATATCAACACATATTTTTGTTTTAAGTACATTAAAAAACTATATATAAATGCGGGTCAGAAGACATGTAATGTGATAACATACTGTAATTCCATTTCACTGATTTATTGATTCTAATTATTTTTGTTTACATGAGATGTAGAGGGTTAGCTGAGGACACAACTTCTGTAATAACATTTTTACAGTCATTTATATGCTTCACTGATATTTACCAGCAGAAAGTTTAACAAGCATTTACATACAATTTTTCATATCGAATTCATCTTTAATTAAAACTGAAATTGTCATTGGATTGATAACATTAAATTATTTTGTTAATATCTATGAAATGACTTAACTATTTTCTAAATACTTGACATTCAGACAAGAGATAAATTGCCTGAAACAAAAAGGGTGAATTTATCTCGGAATTTTTTAATTGGATATGATACTAATTTTCAGATGGAAATAATGGCAGCTTAAATAATCGAAAAAATAATCTGGGAAAAAAATTTGTACGGTTGTCTAGTATTGGCTGTATTGACACTTGATAAAACCGGTTTTAGAGAAGTAGGTCAACTAAAAAAGAAATATAGTGGTAAACAGAAGAAAATAACTTATCTCTCTCTTTCATGTAGGTAGAGAATATCCTAGGACTTATGAATCCTGGCTTCTCCAAATCAGTTGATATCAGAAGTAGTGTGTTTTATTCAAAATTTATGTACAGTTGTGTTGAAATATTTATTTTATTTAGTTGTATTGACGCACTGAATATAGTTCAGTAAGACTGAAAGAGTAGACCGATTAACATAGGCAAGAAACAGTGTTATAATGTAATATTTTTGTGACCCATTATAATATGTTCATCTAGATCTGGCCATTGCCCAAGAAATCATGAAATATATTTTAAAAGGTAGATGTCTGAGTTTGAAAGTTTAAAATGTAAGTCATTTATGGATGGGTTTATTTCATCAATATAACTTACGATTTCTTGATGCATATCATATATATATATACTTTGTTTACCACCCTATAAGAACTCGTAGATTGTGTTACATAGACTCAGCAACCGCCTACTTCAATATGCAATGGTGTTTAGATCAGAAGAAGAATAGAGGCAACAAAAACAAGTCTTAATATTACTTCATAAAGTCGCTGATTGTTGATTCGACAAGCTCTGTAAGGTGCAGACCTTAAGATTATGGTCCGTTTGATGATTTGTATTTACGATTGAAGTAAAGAGGTAGTGCAACACGACATCGATTTTAGTTGGATTGATCTACTTAGTCAATCCTACCAATGGATTCATAAATTATATTTATCTGATTTCATAATTTTTGTCCCAACATGAGTAAAAAATTTGCCTTACAGTCACCTTAAATTTTATATCCTATACCTAATTCATAATACTTGATGGTTTACGAATTCTTTTAACATCTGACCTAATAAATATGGAACAAATAAAATAGAAAAACAATAAATAGAAAGTACAAACTGATATGACATGTAATGTCAGATGTACTAGTTGGGATGTGAGTGATAAATGCTTGACTCGATATTTCACAATAAGAAATGGGTTACTTACTTACTTACGCCTGTTAATCCTAAGAACATAGGCCGCCGACCAGCATTCTCCAACCCACTCTGTCCTGGGTCTAATTTTCTAGTTCCATCCAATTCTTGTTCATTTTTCTCATGTCGGTCTCCATTTCTCGGCGTAATGTGTTCTTTGGTCTTCCTCTTTTCCTTTCGCCTTGAGGATTCCATGTGAGGGCTTGTCTTATGACACAGTTGGGTGTTTTCCTCAATGTGTGTCCTATCCACTTTCAGCAATTCTTCCTGATTTCTTCCTCCACTGGGATCTGGTTTGTTCTTTCCCACAGTTGGTTGTTGCTGATAGTGTCCGGCCAGCGGATCCGAAGTATTTTGCGTAGACAACTAGTAATAAATACCTGTACCTTCTGGATGAAGGTACGGTTAGTTTGAGAAATATAGAGAAAGTAGAAATCCCTAAAAATCATTATCTTAAGTTGTACGTTCGTATTTATAGTTGTGTGGTAAGCATATATCCATGCCCATACTATAGCTTATATAAATGATTTCGTTAAAAAGAAAGAAGTTTGTCCGCTTAATTTTCTTTATTTTTATTTAATGACAATGAATTATTTAAAAAATCATTATAATGACATAATAAGGAGTGTTAGAATAATTCGGCAGTGAAGAATATACACGAAAAAGGAGTGAAGTAAAATATACGATTGAGGAATATAGCAAATAATAATGAGTAGAATCGTTTGACAAGTTTTATCTAACCATGGAAGAGATAAGAGTGTTACAAATTTCTTATGCATACATAGACTTAGATCGTTAGCTTGAATTTCTAGTTTTTGCCATACATAAAACAGGAAATCCAACCCCATAATGAAGGGTAGATTGTATTTAATAAATTACTCCGAATGATTTGGTCCTATCTGCTAAATGACCACTTTTAATCAAGTGTGATAAAACGGATCTTCGTATTGTTTTCATTACATCTTTTCCCAAACACGAAGAAAGGTACTCACTAAACAGTTAACTCATATGTTCATATGTATGTCCAATGCGAATTTCTCCAGAGAAGTAGTTGACTTTGTAGATAATTTTGAATGTGGCAAACCAGGTAAATTATCTTTCAGTTGAAGAAACGCCAAAGTTCAGGTAGGAAACGTTGGACAGAGGATAATAACATGAAATGTTTTCATCATTGTTTTATTCTATCCCACAAGAGATCTCTGTCGAACTTTAGTATTAGGAGGAGAGGTTTCTTACTAATCGTCAATATCACTACCTTCCTGATTCCTGTGTGCGTACATTTGTTCAGAAAACATTGACGGTAACCCATTATTTCTGTTCTTTACTGGTTGCATTCCTCATTTTTTTGACCATATCGAACCCATGGATCTATGCGACACTAGAAATTATTAATTGGCTCATTTTCTTTCACCAGATGAAAGAATGTAAACTCATCGAGGTATTTCTTTAGCCTAGTAACGAAACCTTTCGTAACATTGGTTTCCTAAATATTTCTCTTCCTCAGTTACATCATTTCATAATACTTTTCTAGTTTCCGATAATATATTAAACCAGATAAATTTAGCTTATACACATTCGCTTTTCAATTACTGTTAACTATCATTTATTTATTGAAATATGCAATCACATAATTCAAACGCCACAGTTTTCTGTTATAACCGTAATCAGTGTATTGAAATGTTAAATCTTATGTTACTCTTTATTGTTTTAACTTTATATTGATTCTAATAACCTTTGGTACACTATCATGATACGACCTAAGAAAAATTTCCGACAAAAACCATGAAATAAATATTTCAACTGTAGTGAACAGAAACGCAGGTGGGGACAAGCAAATGCATTTCAATTCAATATTACATAATATCTTACTAAAATCTGAGAACCATACAGTGAATAATTCATTTGCAAATTATCCATCAACTGTCCAAGACTTTATTGTCCCTTCGTTTCCTTACCAACCACCTTCTGTTCTCGTTCTCTTCTCTTCTATTTTCTCAACATTCAGCCGCCAGGTATTCCACTTTCGACTGATGATACATACTACTTATATCTGTCAACATCAATAGCACACACCACAAAACTACTTCAGTATAAATCAAATCACTTGTATCCATCAAACAGAAATAATACGTCCTTAAGATCTGCAACTACCTAGAAATGAAGTCCGAATCTATCATTCAACAAATTCATAAAACTTATTATGTGTTTATCTGGTGTAAGCTATGAAGCAACGTCAGTTCATCGTGGGTTTTTGTCAATGATCTTGTTTGAGAAATGTTAACAACTAGAATTGTACTTGAAATCAGTGACTTAATGCGGTCATAGTATACAGCATTCAATTATTCGTTTAGACATTTCTTTAAACCACCAATCGTTTAGTAAATCTAAATTTTGACAAGTCAATCGAACTACTTTGAGCGAAGCCATAATTGCTGTATAAATAAATGAACGCTTCACATTGCACAAGCATACTTTTGACTGAAGTCGGCCAGATGAGTTCCTCCTAAGTGTTTGTATAATAGCACGGATATGCTTGAAAACTACATGTACTTAGCTATCAGGTTTTTTGTAATTATTCAGATAACGGCGAATCGTTATTGTAATATTTTTTGATAACTAAAAACGGTTTTATACATACATTAGAAATATTTGATACTACAATTATAGATGGGAAAAATCATACCATTTTTAATCTTCATAAAGATAGACAAAAGACCGAATTCTAGCACTTTCCAAAAAACCCCTTCTGATAAATACGAAAAAGTTATTTTTGAAAATAATGGAAACGCTCATAACCCTCACAATTGACTGGTCACTAGGTGTTGATCAATGTCATGTGTGTCAGGTCCTTCTTAGTGCAAATCAAATACTACCGACCAAGTTGCAATATGGCCACTAGTCTAGGTGACACGATATTGCGTGCACTATGATGGTCGGTAGCATTTGATCTGCACTAAGAAGGACCTGACACTTAGGACATTGATCAATCAATTGTGAATAAATATCACTCCGACAGGAGGTCAATCGCGGCCCGGATAGCCAAGTGGTAACATCTCTGACTATGAAACTGAGTGACACGGGATCAAATCAGTCAGGGAGCTTCAGTTCCCTCAAGATTACAGGTACACCTTGCTGATGAGTGCCAAGTAGCATGAAACACGGGACCATGGTTTCCTGTCGACTACCTTCAACCACCATCTTACAAATAACCCTTAATAGTTTGTCATTTATATTTAATAGACATTCCTTTCAATTAATAACAAAATCCGTTGTTATAGCCATACCAGATACTGTTGAAAATGATAATTTTCTTTTAGTTATTTCGCCTGAAAACACGTAGAGTTCAGAAAAGAATTATTGCAAACGTCAAACATAGACTTTTCTTCGTAGTATTTTCTTACAAATT